CCTTTTAATGTACTGTTGGATCCTATTGGCTAGTATTTTGGTGAGAATTTTTGCATCCATGTTCATCAGGGATATTGGTCTGTAATTCTCCTTTTTGATGGGGTCTTTGTCTGGTTTTGGCCTCATAAAATGAGTTTGGAAGTTTTCCTTCCATTTCTATTTTTTGGAACAGTTTCAGAAGAATAGGTATTAATTCTTCTTGAAATGTTTGGTACAATTACCCTGGGAAGCCATCTGGCCCTCGGCTTTTGTTTGTTGGGAGATTTTTGATGACTGCTTCAATTTCCTTAGTGGTTATAGGTCTGTTCAGGTTTTCTATTTCTTCCTGGTTCAGTTTTGGTAGTTGATACATCTCTAGGAATGCATCCATTTCTTCCAGGTTATCTAATTTGCTGGCATAGAGTTGCTCATAATATGTTCTTATAATTGTTTGTATTTCTTTGGTGTTGGTTGTGATCTCTCCTCTTTCATTCATGATTTTGTTGATTTGGGTCATTTCTCTTTTCTTTTTGAGAAGTCTGGCCAGGGGTTTATCAATCTTGTTAATTCTTTCAAAGAACCAGCTCCTTGTTTTGTTGATCTGTTCTACTGTTCTTTTAGTTTCTATTTCATTGATTTCTGCTCTGATCTTGATTATTTCTCTTCTCCTGCTGGGTTTAGGCTTTATTTGCTGTTCCTTCTCCAGCTCCTTTAGGTGTAGGGTTAGGTTGTGTACTTGAGACCTTTCTTGTTTCTTGAGAAAGGCTTGTATTGCTATATACTTTCCTCTTAGGACTGCCTTTGCTGCATCCCAAAGATTTTGAATAGTTGTGTTTTCATTTTCATTGGTTTCCATGAATTTTTTTAATTCTTCTTTAATTTCCTGGTTGACCCATTCATTCTTCAGTAGGATGCTCTTTAGCCTCCATGTATTTGAGTTCTTTCCGACTTTCCTCTTGTGATTGAGTTCTAGTTTCAAAGCATTGTGGTCTGAAAATAGGCAGGGAATGATCCCAATCTTTTGGTACTGGTTGAGACCTGATTTATGACCTAGGATGTGATCTATTCTGGAGAATGTTCCATGGGCACTAGAGAAGAATGTGTATTCCGTTGCTTTGGGATGGAATGTTCTGAATATGTCTGTGAAGTCCATTTGGTCCAGTGTGTCATTGAAAGTCTTTATTTCCTTGTTGATCTTTTGCTTAGACGATCTGTCCATTTCAGTGAGGGGGGTGTTAAAGTCCCCCACTATTATTGTATTGTTATCGATGTGTTTCTTTGCTTTTGTTATTAATTGCCTTATATAATTGGCTGCTCCCATGTTAGGGGCATAGATATTTACAATTGTTAGATCTTCTTGTGGGATAGACCCTTTAAGTAGGATATAGTGTCCTTCCTCATCTCTTATTACAGTCTTTGGCTTAAAATCTAATTTGTCTGATATAAGGATTGCCACCCCAGCTTTCTTTTGGTGTCCATTAGCATGGTAAATGGTTTTCCACCCCCTCACTTTCAATCTGGGGGTGTCTTTGGTTCTAAAATGAGTCTTTTGCAGACAGCATATCGATGGGTCTTGTTTTTTAATCCAGGCTGATAGCCTGTGTCTTTTGATTGGGGCATTTAGCCCATTTACATTCAGGGTAACTATTGAAAGATAGGAATTTAGTGCCATTGTATTGCCTGTAAGGTGACTGTTACTGTATATTGTCTGTGTTCCTTTCTGGTCTATGTTGCTTTTAGGCTCTCTCTTTGCTTAGAGGACCCCTTTCAAGATTTCTTGTAGGGCTGGTTTCATGTTTGCAAATTCCTTTAGTTTTTGTTTGTCCTGGAAGCTTTTTCTCTCTCCTTCAATTTTCAATGACAGCCTAGCTGGATATAGTCTTCTTGGCTGCATATTTTTCTCATTTAGTGCTCTGAATATATCCTGCCAGTCCTTTCTGGCCTGCCAGGTCTCTGTGGATAGGTCTGTTGCCAATCTAATGTTTCTACCATTGTAGGTTACAGATCTCTTCTCCCGAGCTGCCTTCAGGACTTTTTCTTTGTCTCTGAGACTCATAAGTTTTACTATTAGATGTCGGGGTGTTGACCTATTTTTATTGATTTTGAGAAGGGTTCTCTGTGCTTCCTGGATTTTGATGCCTGTTTCCTTCCCCAAATTAGGGAAGTTCTCTGCTATAATTTGCTCCATTATACCTTCTGCCCCTCTCTCTCTTTCTTCTTCTTCTGGGATCCCAATTATTCTAATGTTTTGTCTTATGGTATCGCTTATCTCTCGAATTCTGCCCTTGTGATCCAGTAGTTGTTTATCTCTCTTTTTCTCAGCTTCTTTATTCTCCATCATTTGGTCTTCTATATCACTGATTCTCTCTTCTACCTCATTTATCCTAGCAGTTAGCACCCCCATATTTGATTGCACCTCATTAATAGCCTTTTTGATTTCTACTTGGTTAGATTTTAGTTCTTTTACTTCTCCAGAAAGGGTTTCTCTAATAACTTCCATGCTTTTTTCAAGCCCAGCTAGTATCTTTAAAGTGATGATTCTGAACTCTAGATCTGACATCGTACTAATGTCCGTATTGAGTAGGTCCCTGGCAGTCGGTACTACCTCTTGTTCTTTTTGTTGAGGTGATTTTTTTCCATCTTGTCATTTTGTGCAGAGGAGAATAGATTAGTGAGAGAACAAAATGCTAACAGGGTAACAACATGCCCAGAAAATATACTGTAAACAAATCAGAAAAGACCTGAAGTAGTGGGGAAAGAAAGGGAAAGAGAGGAAAAAGAAAAAAAAAGAAAAAAGATAAAAACAAACAAAAACAGAACAAAACAAAACAAAACAAAAAGCAGAATGTGATCAAATATGATCAGGCTGGTATATAGATCAGTGCCACACACTAGATTTGGGGTGTATTTTGGTCTGTTAAAAGAAAGTGCCTCCCAAAATTTTAAAGAAAGAAAAACTTATATATGTACAAAAATAAGGGTTGATATGATGAAGGGATGGAATAGGACTGTAAAGATGGAAATTATAAAAAATTTTATAAAAGGAATTGATAAGTTGTTTAAAAAAAGAAAGAAGAGGATTTAAAAAAAAAAGGGAGAGAATGTGATCAGGCAGGGGAGTAGAAAAAAACCATACACTAGAGATTTAGAGTATATTTTGATCTGTTAGAAGAAACTATCTCAAAATTTTAAAGAGAGAACAACTTATATATATATATGCCAAAAATACGGGTAACTACTATGAAGGGATAGAATATGACTTTAAATATGAAAAATAATGTTTTTTAAAAAAGGGATTGATAAGATGTTGGTTGAAAAAGGGAAAAAGAAAAATTCAAAAAAAAAAAAAAGACCGTTAAAAAAAAATTCACTTTGAAAGACTAAAGAATCATGGTAAAAAAGCCATGAATTCTATGTGCAGTATTCCCCTAGCGCTGGAGTTCCGCCGTTCTCACTGATCGGTAAACTTGGTCTTGGCTGGCTGTTCTCGCTGATCTTCTGGGGAGGGGCCTGTTGCCGTGGTTTCCAAATGTCTCTGCCGGAGGCAGAATTGCCCCGCCCTTGCCCGGTCCGGGCTAAGTCATCTGCTCGGGTTTGCTCTCGGGAGCTTTTGTTCCGTGCAAGCTTTCCGTACAGCTTTGGAGGTGGAGAGTGAAAATGGTGGCCTCCAATCTCCACCCCAGAGGAGCCAAGAACTCGGGGCCCCGCTCCTCAGTGCGCCCCCAGAGAAAAGCCGCCAGTCACTCCCGTCTCCCTGGTCTCCAGCCGCACTCCGTGCTCGCCCGGCCTGTGACCGTGCGTTTCTATCTCTGGCACCCGACCCCGGGTGGAGTCTCCAAACCCAGCAGATCCCTGCGGTGCCCTCCCGCGCGGCTCCTCCCGGGGGAGGAAGGTGAGTCTCCACGGATCTGCCGCTTGTTGGGTCCCTGCTGGAGGAGCAGGGGCCCGACTGGGCCGCGGATCACGGTTTATGGCCACCCCGAGCTGAGAGCCCGCGCCTGGGCTCCGCCTCTGCAGCCGGCTTCCCTGCTCCGATACCTGGGAGCTCTGCCGCCCTCAGGCACCCCCGGTCCTTCTGTGTCCCCAAGGGTCCTGAGACCACACTGTCCCGGAGGGTTCCACCCCCCGCTCAGCCACCAGAGTGACGTCCCTCGGCGGAGCAGACTTTTAAAAGTTCCGATTTTGTGCTCCGCGGCTCTATCACTTGCCAGAAGCGGCCGACGGAGGCCCCTCCCCCGCCGTCTATCCTCCCGAATATCGCCTCGGATTCACTTCTCCGCACGTCCTACCTTCCAGAAAGTGGTCGCTTTTCTGATGAGAGAGTTGTTGCTCTTCTTTTCTTCGATCTCCTGTTGAGTTTGTAGGTGTTCAGAATGGTTTGATCCCTATCCAGCTGAATTCCTGAGAGGAGACCAAATCCAGGTCTCCTACTCCTCTGCCATCTTGCTCCGCCCCTCATTTTATTCTAATTTTAAAGGAGGATATTTATTAAGGTATTATGAATAAACTGGTCCTTTGAAAATGTTCACAACTAGAATAACAGTACTGTTCTTTTGATGTGTGATATTTTCTATATGCAGCTGTAGTTGAATGCCAGTAGATGGCACTAATTACATAAACAATTCAACAATTTAATGAAGGGGGAAAGAAATACATGAGATTTGCTTTTCCATTCAAATTTTGGTATGTCCCATACTCAACAATTATATGGGAGCTTACTTTTATAGTTCTCTACCATGAAAAAAATAACTAAACCCAGTTGATTTCCAATTAATTGGCACTAAATTGAAATACCCAATACTGAGTATTGCTCAAGATGCAGCATTTGAAAAGTTTTGTCATGAAAAGTGGGTTAGTTTATACAGTCATGATTGACTAAATCACGTGGTAGGTTAAAAGTAATCATGTAGACATGTTCTGACCTGAGGATTCAAAAGCTATTTATGCGAAATTTTAAGAAACTACAACTCAAGATTTCAGAGAAAACTGACATTCATTTTCTTTCCCATATGCATCCACAGCAGTTGGCCAAAGACCTCCGCCAGTGGCAGATAAATGTAGATGTTGCAAATGATTTGGCACTGAAACTTCTCCGGGATTATTCTGCAGATGATACCAGAAAAGTTCACATGATAACAGAGAACATCAATGCCTCTTGGGCAAGCATTCATAAAAGGTATGAATGACATTATTTCTGAAACTAGTGTTGGCTGCCATGATGGATGGGTGGTGACACTGGGTGGACCACGCAGATTTGTTTTCCTGATCCTGCTAAACTGGGGCCTCAGAGGATCCAAGGTGACAAATGCCAAGCAAATACGCAGGCTCGCCTGAATCCTCTAGAATTTTAAAGGTGAGGGACCTGAAGACTGGTGAAATTAAGTGATTTGCCCAGGCAATGATATAACTAAGAGTTTAGACAAACAAAAATACTGATTTATAGCCAGAAGAGCCATTTGTCAATATGTTTTGAGAACTCTATCCAAAGAAATATTCTATTCCATAGTGACACATGCTGCCCCATTCTTAATCTGACAGTGAAGTTACTTGGCGTTTCATGATGGGATTATAGCTGTCCATGGTGCCATCATTGCATCTCACTCCACATACTAAATGAGAAAATCCGTGCAGTGTCACATGACTCAGAACTTCATTTCCCCTTCCGTATCAATGAAAATTAACAGCTCTTAGAGATACTATCTCCTCAAAGTAGATTCTGTGTCCTTATTATGCACTCCTTTAACCTTATGTGCTTTTCTTTTAATAGCATGTGTCCTAATTTTAAATAAAAACCTGAATTATGTAAATAACTGTTTAATGTTTGTCCTTCATATTAGTCTAAACTCCCTAAGGACAGAGACCCTCTTTCTTTTTTTTTTTTTTAAATTATGTTCAGTTAGCCAACATACAGTACATCATTAGTTTTTGATGTAGTGTTCAACGATTCATTATTTGCGTATAACACCCAGTGCTCATCACAACATGTGCCCTCCTTCATACCCATCACCTGGTTATCCCATCCCCCCACCCCCTCCCTTCTGTAACCCTCAGTTTGGTTCCTGGAGTCCATAATCTCTCATGGTTTGAAAGACCCTCTTTCTTATTTGACACATCCTGAGGTCCTGAACCAAGTGATACAATGGGGAGCTGGGAAATACTTGTTGAATGATGACTCTCTTTGCGTAATGTAGTTACCTTGTTCATGCTATGGTAACTTAAGGATTATTGGATACTTATTTTTAGTTCTCTCAAAAAACAGGGGCAATTCAGCTCAGGTCATGATCCCAGGAGTCCTGGGATCCAGCCCCCGAGTCAGGCTCCCTGCTCAGGGGGGAGTCTGCTTCTCCATCTCCTTTTACCCCTCCCCACTGCTTATGCACTCTCTCTCTCTCTCAAGTAAATAGATAAAATCTTAAAATAAAAACCAGGGGCAAAAAGTACCTGTACAGTGATGAGGAAAGCCACAGTGAAATGTAAATAAATTCTAGAAGATGACATGAATTACTGAAGATGTCAGTTAGGTGGCCTTTATTAAGAAGAAAAGGCCTCCATCAGGGGGAGAAAAACCAACAGATTTTGAACTAAGAGCAGAAACTCAGGAGTCACAAGCTGCTGATATGCGGAAACTGAGAAAGCAAGTAAATCTTGAAACTGAGTTAGGAATTAAAGAGTGAAAATTCCTGCGAAACTGGATTTACATCAGTGGCCCTGAGGGAAGAGAGCAGCTCTAGTCTTGAATTCCAGATAGTGGGTGTTCAGATGACCATGGAAAAGAAGTTTCAACCTGAAGTTGGGAGTTACTTTCAGGGCCCTATCACACGGACCCTGGTGGAGAGAGGACAAGCTTGAATAGGGGAGTGATAATTGGAAAAAAATTCTTAAAGTTACTGCCCCCTCTCAGTGGCAAGGTTTGAATTTTCCAGTTCAAATATAGATCTGGTATCTGTTGAGTTAAATAAGGGCAGATTAAGCTCAGGAAGACTTAGGCATATGTGAGCCAATGGTATCAGAAGCTCAATAGTTAGATCTCAATGGGAAATGCTTGTTTGTCAAAGAGAAGCCTCTTCTTTGGGAAAGCAAATTAAGATCAGAAATCAATTTGGTGAGTTTAGGGAATGTAAGCTAACAAGGGGCCAAAATGAAAACTTGTTTCTGGTACAAACCTAGGGCTTCAGGGAGGTCCTATCCCATCTGTGCAGCTCTTTCTGGAAGCCCCCTGGCTCCACACTCCCATGCTCCTCTGATGTCCAAGCTGCTCTCTTCTTTAAATAACTTCCTCAAGGTCTTGGATTCTTCAGAGGGGCTTCCAGTTTATATTTTTTGACTTGGTCCCTAAAAATCTACCACCTAAGGAGGTATATAGTTATTTCTCCAATGGCTAAAGTTAAATAGAATGTTAGCAGCCAAATTACATTTTCCACTGGCCCCTACAGAAGCTGAAGTCTGCCAAACTAATTTTGACTCATGCCTCTAAAATTCTTCCCTGTGCCTTTCTCACATGTACTCTGTGAAAATGCATCCACTTGTGTCGTTTCAGTCCACTAATGACTATCCATTTATGTCATTTGCCGCTGACAATGATTTTGTGACTTTCAGACCTGCATATCCCACTGACTTATTTCCATTTAAATGTCCCTCCAGAATCTCAAACTGAATGAGCCCAAGGCTGAACTCATCTTTGCCCTCTTCCAACCTTTTTCTCCAGATGCAGCCTACTTCTCTTCCCACGATGCCTCTCCAGTGAACGTTACCACAACCCAGTCAGTTGCCAAATAGAAACTCATGCTTGAGTCTTCCTTTTACAAGCCCAATAGCTAAGCTATCACAGAGCTATTTACTGCAGAAATCACTTTCAAATCCAGCCACTCCTCTTTATCCCTCCTCCTTAACTGTCGGGTTTTGCCTGAGTGACTACATCATTCACCTAACTGGCGTCCCTCCTTCTAGTCTTTCCACTTCCTCTCCATTCTCTACATAAAATGCAGGCTGATCTTTCTAAATATGGTATATTTATGTAGCTCACCCTCCTCTGACTTTTAAAGCCTTTAATGGCTTATCCATTATTTTCTGAAGACAGTCCATACTCCTATAAATGATTTTGAGGTTGTGTGTGATTTAGCGTTTCCTCAAAACTACAGCCTCATTTTCTGCACTTACTCAGTCTCCCCTCCCAGGTGCCCCACACATAATTAAGTAACATTGAGCTATTTTCATTTCCTCGTAGCTATGCTCTGTCTTCTCTCCTGACCTGGAATATATGTATTATTCCTTCCTCTTTACCTAGTTAAGTTCTGTTCATTATCCAGGTCTCAGTGTAAATGCCAATTCCTTCGGGAAGCCTTTTCAGTGCACACTCTTTCGGCCCCCTCTATTATAGAGCTTACCTCACTACTTAAGTGTTTGCTGGTCATTGTCTGTTACGAGAATGTTGGCTTTGTGAGGGTATTCCCATGGGCTGCTTGTCCACCCTATTACCTCGCACTTAGCTATGCACATGGTAACTACCCCCAACACATTTATTATTAAATGGGTAAATGAACAAATGAAAAATAACTAACTACAAGTGTTCTGGTGCGCCAATAACTTAACTCAGAAGAAAACTGTCTCCATTAGGATTGCTTTCCATTTCAAATAACAGAAAACCAAAGTTCAGTAGCTTATCTAACGAAGGTTTATTTGTCTCATTTAATGAGTGGTTCAGGGGTAGGCAGATGGCTGACATTGGCTCAATGGCTCAGCGTTGTCAGCCTTGAAGTTTCCATGCTCTCCTTGGTGTCTCCCTGAGAACACATGCATTCCAGCAGGAAGAAAAGGAAGGAGAAGGGGTGGTGCTTGGATCAGGAAAGCAGTGGGTTTCCCAGGAAGTTGAAGATCAGAACTGTGCCACAAAACCACCTCTAGTGGCTAATAATTGGGGTTGAGTCAAACAATAGAGAATGTCTGCCTCAAAGGGGATGGAAAGAATAAACTGGGGAACTGACATGCTGTAGCTGGACAGCATTAGGTTCCCTGGAAAGATAACCAGTCAGATCTTTGAATAAATAGAGTATATTCATGTAGCTCATATATTCATGTTCATTGTATTTATACAGTATATTTACAGAGGGTCGTAAAACAGTGGCCATTTGGGCTTGATGGTTGTTCTGGTCAGTGTGAAAGGTCTTGAGGAGAGCTGGATTCTCTGCTGGCTAATGACACCTTTATACTCGAAGTTCACATTCTGTGTATGCTGTGTGTGTCAGCTACACAGATGAAGCCATCTTCTATTTGACTACAGCTTCTCAGCATCTCTTATTTTACATTCTTACAGATCTTGTGCTAGGTAGATAAAGAATAAAAAAACTCTTTATATGATCTTTAGTCTTCTGACCCTTTTATCCAGTGTCTTGCCCAGGTAAACCTAGGAGGAAAGTAACATCATCATCTTCCTCTAGATTCATGCTGTCCAATAGGGGTAGCCAGTAGCCAAGGGTGGCAATTTAAATGTAAATTGAAACTAAATAAAATTTAAAATTCATTTTCTCCATCTCATCAGCCACTGTTTAAGTGCTCAGGAGCCACAGGTAACTAGTGACTTCCCTATTGGACAGTGCAAAAGAGAGCATTTCCATCATCACAAAAAATTTGGTTGGTAGTCCTGCTGCAGATCATCTTTGTCTATGTCCAGCTAAGCAATGTAGGGCACACTTACAACAATATCTTAAAAGTAAAAAGGTGTTGGTTCACATTATTTTATTTCCTTCTTTATACTTTATATCTTCTGTTTATCCACTTTGTAGAGTTGGTATTTAAAGTCTCGAAAACTACAACTATCACAGGATAGAAACACTTTGACTTTTGTTGTTAATCTTATAAACATAATTTTAAAAGGAGAAATTATTAACATTGATATTTGGGTTATGGAGAAAAAGTATCTCACATCTTTGAAAAGTACCTATAAATAAGACTTTCTAGGTAGAAGGGACTCTGCTGTAAGCATTCTGGTTACATCATTTCTCACAGTTCAGGCTTTACTGCAGAACACTCATGTACTGCCTGCCCTGAAACTTTTCAGTCATATAGAGAAATACGTGCAAAATATCTGTACATTTAGAAGCCTGTTTAAAGCAATAAACTCTTCAATGCATTTCCAATTGTTGAATAACACGTAAAAATTGTAACTTGAAAAACCTTGAC